TACCTTATGTCAGACAAAAGTGTATTTTCCAAAAGATACCAGACATGAGTTGGTGTGGTCATATCATGCAGGCTTTTGAGAGAGATGTGGTGGGTAATGATCTGTTCTTTAACTGGCCAAAGGATCCCTTTTCACTGTAGTTGCTATGGGGATTGTAAATGTGAGGACAGGTGTATTGTTTCTTCTGTTCAAGTAGGTCCACAGAAGCTCTGTCTCTTTCACAAACTAGGCTAACCAGTGCTACTGAAATAGTGTGCTTTTGGAGGATGAAATTGTTAGCGTGATCAAATGTTGCCTGAGAATTTCAGTTAGATAGGAATGGGATCGGAGTGGCTGGTAGTGATGACTGTGATGTGTAGTGACTGCCTGGTGCTGCTWCTGAGTGTAGCCTGCTGCATCTCAACTAAGAAATTACTGTTGGGATTAAAGGTGTGCTGAACTAAAAATATTTTTGAATTCATGAGGTAACATTTTGGGAATATCCTGACAGTACAGCAGTAGAAGCACTGAAAGCATGTTTGAGACAATGCACTGCTCACTTTACTSACCCAGTATGTGGGAAATATCCTCAAGCAAGTTGTGGACAAAGAACTTACCTCTACAGAGGGAGGGGAGATGCCTTTTCTTTACATGATCTCCAGTTAATAAAACAACAGCCAAGAATTACATGGCAAAAAGTAAAATTAAATTTTTAAGTRTAGAAGATAGATATATCTGCAAAGTGCCTAATGTAAGCATATAACTAAGCAGAAACCTGTAGTCTAACAATATACTTCTCTTGCAATTATGGAGTACCAGCAAGRTTTTAAAATGTTGCAGTACTTACTTGGCAAACTAATATACCGAACATACTGGATTTTAGGCACTGGACTGCCCAGTTGATCCTTTGTAAAGGCATTGTGCACAGTGCTTTCCCAATGACACTCTGTGTTCATTTTCATCTGGGAAGACCATTAAGAGATGTGTTTCTTGATTTGTTCTGTAACTTCTTGCTTACGTGAACTTGTAAAAGGTGTTCAAAATATTCTAAGGGCTGCATTGTGATAACTCTTCCAGAGGTGCTCATAGGCTTGAGGTGTGTTTCCTGTTTTGGCTTTCAGGGTTTATTTCCCACCCCCTCTTTTTAGGATTTGGGGTTCCCACCTGAAATATCTTATGCAATACAAAATGAATCTGGGTTTCGAAAGATAACATATAACTAGTTTGTGAATAAGTTAAAATGTCTTTGCTGTCTTTCTACTTCTGAAAGCAGGTGAAGCAACCCATCTTCCACCTGTGAATGGCTTAATTCAAGCAAAAAAGAAAATTTCAAAGCACTGTTTTCTTTGTGGCAAGAAAACTGGATTGGCAACCAGCTATGAGTGCAGGTAGGCTGAGTATRTCATCAGCTGTTACTTAAAATTGATAGCTGAGTTAACCAAAAAGTTTTCTTTGCTGCATGGTATTCCTTAAACATAGCAAATCAAAAGGCAGCCTTCAAAAAAGTTGCAATTCTCAATTCAGCAGAACTGCAGGAATTAAAASTCAGAAAAGTTGCCCGTTTTCAGCTCTTGAGGTGTATGTCCTTCTAGAAAGATCAAGAAATGGAAGGTAACACAGTGGAAGGTATCAGGAAATAAAGAACAGGATAAGAAAACAAAAAYAATGACATTTTATAGTGGTGGGAGAAGAACTTGCTACAGATACATGTTCTGCAAAGTTTCTCATCAATAATGATATCATTAACAACTTGAGGAAAAATGGGATTTGTTAGAGTTTCTCAGAAATCTCCCTCAGATTTGGCCCTATTGCAACACATCACAGTTTGTGAATTTATACAAATTTGTATCTAACAAATTTTTGATTTTATGTGTGTTCCAGTTTTTGCAAGGCTTCAGTCACCTTTGAGCATCAAGAGCATCTCAAACACTGAACACCAGAGTGCTGTTCCCCTAAATCATTACTTGTAGAGAACACAGTGAGACCTGGTGCTTGGTGGTGATCTTGGGAAATGTTTTTTTTAAAAAAAGCAACCAAAAAACTCACAAACAAAAAAAAACAAAAAAACCCACCAGCAGCAAAACTGCAGGAGAAAACCCTGCTCTCTYTGTTAATCTTAGTTTGCAAAGTATTTTTTCCCCACTAAAAGGTATTTTTTTCTTAGTATTGTTTCCCATGAGGTAGTCAGGGTTGGGAGCTGCTGYGCTGTGAGTGCTGCATTTGGAGCTGATCTTGGTTCATGTCAGCCAACAGCAAAACGAGCTAGAACTACTGCCACTGGGGAATGATAAGAATTTCTGGGTGAGGAATTGTCTCCTTACTGACTCTTCATTCTCTGATTTTGAAACAGTTTTGGACACTGCTCACTTTCCTGATGAGCWAATAGCTGYAAGCTCTTCTAAAAGTAACTAAGSYGCTTGCTTAAGGTTAAAAAGGAAGGGGGAGATGGTTCATCTCCAAGAATAGCATTTGTTTTGTTTCAAAAGGAACGACCATAGGACCTTTTACTAGAAAGCAGTAGAAACCAAAYAGAGAATACAATCATATGAGAAAAGTTGTGATTATGGGACCAAGAACCAAAGAAAAGCAAAGTTATTTCCAGGTACACACAGCCTCAGTAATAGTTGCAGATTTATCTGAACCCAGTTAGATAAATAAATATGGGTTTATAGTGTAATAGTGAATTCAGTGGGTAACAATCCTTTTCAAGAGAATTCTGATTTTGAATGATGTCTTACTGGCAAGAAACATGGCTATCAAATAATCGGGCAACAGGACACCACTATTTGTCTCCAGGTAGAGCACTTGTCCAGATCACATACAACATCCAAAGTGTGCTTTTCTCCTGGTAAGAGTCTTAGCTGCAGAACTGTCAAGTTTGAAGCAAAAATTCTGATCTTAACTCATCAGAATTGCAACTGATATTAGATACATGAATCCTTTTCCAGTCCTCCAGGAAGTTATGTTCCCTGTAGTTAATCTGTCTTATATCTTACATCTGACTAAATCTRTATTTATTAATCTYAAATGGCTAATTTGAGTTTATGCCRATCAGAAGTTGTGCTGAAAACACTGYTTTGATTGTCTCAATGATGTCATGGTTTTGAATTTAAATGCATTACATGGATTTTACCTGGTGGAATTATTGTTCATGGTTTTGTCCTCTGATTTCTACCTACTAATACTATGTGAGATTCTTAAAAAAAAGAGAAAGTAAAACAAAACTCATCATTCTTAATTTGTAAGTGTGCTTGTTCCTTGCTAGCTGGTTCCTGGAGTACTGATCTTGCTTAGCTTCCCAGCGGAAGAGACTGCTGGGTTAAAACTGCAACATTCTGTGTGAAAAATCTCATTCTCATTACCACACCAGGTAATGTTATCTCTCAAGGATGGTAACAGTTCACACAGCTCTGTCTTTTAAGACCTGATTTAAGCAAAATGGCTCCCATCATGTCAGAGCATTAAAAGCTTCTAAAAGCCTGTAACTTGTAATATTCTTGATTCTTCAGATGTGGAAACAACTTCTGTGCAACGCACCGCTATGCAGAGACTCACACCTGCACCTACGACTACAAGAGTGCGGGGCGAAGGTATTTGCAGGAGACCAATCCCATCGTTAGTGCACCAAAGCTTCCCAAAATCTGACGTGGTTGTGCTGCATGTGRCCACTCTGCTGTTGAAGAATTGTATTGAACTGAGAGAAGCACTTGCTTAAAATGCATAATTTTGCCATGCCCCATATTTAAAGATTTGCCAAGTAACAAAAGCACATGAGGATGCATTGAAGAATAATGTGAACACTACTGCAGTTTCCTTCTTGAGTGAATGAAAGGTTAAAAATTAGTTTCTAAAAACTTACACTATGAATTAACTGTTACTGCACGTGTTGTGTTTTATATTTGGAAAAGCTATTTCACTAGACAAGTCTTTAAAGATGCACTTTACTAACTTTACTGTATAACCAGAGTTGAGGGGGTGTTGTAATGAGGGTGTCATGTAATGTCTTCTGTACTCTTGTTTTTTGTCCATTGCGTGGTATCTTCTAAGTTATTTCACTAGAAAGATCCTCCTCCCTCCCCTTTCTTCAAACAGCCTGTTTTGAGATTTTTAAGGGGATATAGTGTGTTCCACCTCTGTGTTTCATTCTGATTGATATTCATACATTGTGTGTGTCCATTCTGAAAATTACATATCATCTTAATCACATTTTCTTAAAATAATGCTGTTTATATGACAAGTGTGTTTTTAAATAGAAGGTTTCCCTGTTTGTTGCCATTAAATATAAGAAACAACTTATTTTAACTTTTTTTGTAATCCTAGATTTTTTTAAGACTTCACAACTTGCTTTGTTAAGATGTTGAATGCTGTTACTGGAAGAAATTCTAATAAATATTAAATTTTATTATTGTTTATGCTGTCATAACTGCACAAAATAACTTCTCTCTTACAGTGTGTTCCTAAATTTAAAATTGGGCTCTGTTGGGAGGGTATATATATTTTGGTTTTTYTTCCACAAGCACTGGCTCATCTGTGTTCATAGTGAAGCTGATGAGAAGAATTCCCACCAGCTTCATTAGGAATAGTGTGACCAACACTGTGCTTTAAATAAACCTTCTGAAGTCTTACAAGTATTCTAGCAAAGGCAAAAGGGATGCCCAACAAAGGGCATGTACTAACCTTCTTCCCCTCAGTTCAGTAAATGCATGAGATGCTTCTAGTGATCATGAAGCCACTGTAGAGGGTGCTGTTGSAAGAACATACCTACTGAAAGACTTTCCTCTTTTATTCCCTTGATGCTTGTGAAATATTTTTATAAGCATAAGTTGCATTAAGTATTCCAGTATAAGGAGGTTAATAAAAAACCTATGACAAACCACCAAAACAAAAATTCCCCCCCTACATTGTCTGTAGGTAATCAAATGTCACAGTCCCTGTCTTGTCAAAGTCCTCGGCTACTTCTTTGTTGTGGTAATAAAATGATCTATGCTGCATTCCAGTCAAGGGGGTAGCAGCTTACGAGAATGACAGTCAAAAGGTGAGCCAAAAAACAAGAAATAGGATCACTGAAAGAGAGAGAAGTAACTTGAAGAACCTCATCCTTGGAGGAAATCCATTTCATGTACTCCAGTTGAAACWTCTCAAGCCTGAACTTTGCAGAGTTGGCAAAGCTTAGAAAAAATGTTCACAATCATTCTTCTGGGCACTGATAGGATGAAAATGGCATTCTGTGTGTGTGACCTCTGTTTATTATTACTGGAGAAAGTTCACCTGGTATGAAGAACGTGTAATTTCTGAGCCATGATATGTACCATGAACTGCCTGGAGTTTTTATTTCATCTCCAGCATGGGACAGTGTTKGATGCCAAAGGAAAAGAATAAGGAACGTGATAAATGTACAAGTGTTTTCCCAACAATTAAGGGCAGCTCAGCAGCATTCTGAAGACAGGGGTAYTGGACTTTTTGTAGGTGTACAGTAGGGATTTGGTAAGAAATGAAATTAAAATAATGTCGCCTGTCATCACTTAATCTGATTTTGCTTAAGTATAATTGTCAGGAAATTGTTTTGAAATGCATTAGAACGGCCATACTCAAATTTTAGTCAAACTACGCAAGAGGTACGTGGTAGGAAGTCTCTGAGTCACCTCACAATTTTGACTTTCTGTTTATGTGTAATGAAGTGCACWACAATCCTTTTTCAGAATATGCAACACAGTTAATAATCTAATTTCCCTATGTGTAGCTTCTCATAATTTTTATTATACCTCATTTTAATTATACTTAATACAGATATTTTTGTTCAGAACTCCACTGGTTTTGTTCTCCTATCCACACTGTTACAGGCATTCACTTTCAACCAGTAGTACAGCCACAAGAGCACTTTAATCTGTAATTAACTTTCAGTTGTTGATTCAGATGCTATAGACCTTTTCCAAGTCCTGTGTTAGTTTGTGCTATGGATTAATTACTGTTTACTGTGTAAACTTACCTAAATGGTTWGGGGTTTGACTATTAGTGTACCATGCTGCTATGCATCTGCTGAAGACAAATGTTTGGCGTTTGTGCATTCATGTAATTAGATTATTGTATTATAAAGAGTTTAATTGCTTTGGTGTGTGCTTCTCTACCTTCCTGCCAAGTATTTTTTGCTTGCTTCTTTCATGCTTGAGGACCTGTGAGGCAAAACCAGGATGGTCTCTTGTTGAATGACCTCAMGGATTCTTGTGTCAAATTGATAAGCACCACAGAGGTCTCAGAAATGGTTTTGGATCTCAAATATTTCCTTTCTCTGAAATCTGTAGAAGCCCATGGTGATAAAAACCCATCTGCTTGCAATTTCTGTCTGTTCAGTTTGTAATTGCACTGGTGCCTTCTGCTCCCTGTCTTCAGTTGTAGAAAAGGCTAGAATTGTTAATTGATACTACAAAATAGAAAATTAGTTTTTTCTAGGGTTTTTTTGCATGTTGTGCATTAGACACTGCTTTCTTTTCAAGTACTTCCAACTTTCATAATGAGGCATCATCTTCTGGGTGTGAATCGTGGATTCAGCATTGCTTCTGCCAATAAGGGGTTGCTTCCACCTGCAGCTTTTGTGTAGGGTCACGTCTTTCCAATCTTTATATAAATCAGGTTCTTCTTGAGATGCATTTGACAGTTTTTCTGGTGTCTACATTAGCACTGAGCCTCAGCCGCTTGCATGAGGACATTCCTGTAGCTGAGAACTGAACCTGGAAGCGCAGTCCASTCGTTTGTGCACAACTTCTTCACAGGGACTTTGTGACAGAGAACTTGTGTGGATTTTTTCGATATTTCTCTTGCATTCGCTTTGTGTGTGAAGCTGCAGAGAAGCAACACCAGGGGGCAGCGGAGGCATTTTAAAATAGCAACAAGTTTTGGGTCTGTCCAATAACGAGACTTACCAAAAAAGTGATTATTTGTTTATGATCCTTACTCAGACCACTCTGAACAGATCTGAGGAGATCAGCAATAGGATACATTCCTTTCCCTAATGCCAAAGGTTTTTTAAAAATCAGAATGGAAGAGTGCCTCAAAAACTTGTTTCTACCCTGCGTTTAATGATGTCATTTATTAAGTGATCTTAATGTATTGAGAAACAGACAGCCCTCCTCTTTTCCTTCCCAATACCGCTGAAAGGATGAATTTCAGAGGTGCCTGTTAGCCAGGCTGTGTTGGATGGTAGATATGWCAGGTAAAAATACTGCAGGTCCCCATAACTTTTTATTTTAAAACGACAAGTGTTGCTGTTTTTTTTCTTATGGAGACAGGGTGAGGATATGAAAGTATAAATTCAGTCGTGTGTGAGGAATGTATGCCAGTAAGTGCTAAAGTGACCACTCCTTACTATCTGTCTTGTCTAGCCTTGCAATTCAGAAAGCTTTACAGATCATCAGTGACAGAAATGTATTTCTAAACCACACTTCAAGGTGGTTTCAACCCTTATTAATCTTCAGAAAGACTGTTCACTATGTATCATATATGTACGAAGTGTATATATAACTCAATAAGAATTATATTCTAATCACATCTGCATGGTGAATTATTGCTGGAATTAAGTCTTCTGCCCAGAACCAGAAATTCAAAACAGTACCTAATCACAAAAATAGTATTATTTACATGGTATGTGATTAAGCATGTTAATGAGCAGGAAATGAAAACACTGAAGTTTTCTAAAAGAAAAAATTGGGGGTTTCAAAATACTCACTCTTCCTTCTCYGTGTGTGAGGGTTGGGTTTTTTAGCAAATACAAATCAGTTTTTTAAAAGTGAGTAATATTTTTCTCTTCTTTCTATCCATGAACCTAATGTGCAGACAGGTTTTTTTTTTGCTGGAACTGTTGCCCATAACGGGCCACATTTGGGATATGGTAGTGGTTTGCTAAAAACCTGCACTGGSTGATGCAAAGTTACAACACAGAGATACATAATGGAGTACTTTTGATTTTAAACATGGTCTTCAGACCAAAAATTGTGTGCCGGGATTTCTTCTTAGCATCGCCTGTCTTGCCAGCAATCATAGGTGGTTTGTTTTGGGGAGACATAGGACTCATCAAAATAGATTGCATGATAAATAGGTTCATCCAGTCCTCTGGGAATAGACAAAAATTCCCTAACCGAGTATTCAGGAACAGGACACTGGATGTTACCTCTGAATTGTGAAGAACTTGTTACCTCAGTGTACAGTAGGATATTAATTTGGAGGTCCATAAAGGTCTAAAACCATTTTTGAACTTGATAGATTAATAGTTTCCCCTATTTCTATGTGTAATGTGAAAAGAATTTTYCTTCACTGTAGTTTTGAATTTCCTACCATTTTTAAATTGAAATTCATTTGGTCTTTTTGAAAAAGGGAGAATTGTGTCTCCTAAATATTCTGTTTGTTCTGTCTTTGTATCAAACCCCGCCTTACTCATATTTTTTATCATAGCAATTCAGTGTCTCTACTGTTACAGATCCTTAATTATACTTGCTGTCCTCCAAATCTCCTCTAATTTTGCATTATACTTTGTCATCCCTGGTTCCCATTTTCATGTTGTGTACTCAGCTATAAACTACTCAAGGTACTGTTACAATAGAAGCCTCTAAAWTTGTGATTAAAATAATACCGGGTGAAATATKMCCAGRGYTCTTCCAAGGAGGTCCCATAGAAATGCTCAGTATTATTAATCTTCATCTTGTCTGGACAGGATGTAAATAGCATTTGTTAGGAGTATGAGGAAAGATGTAGGAAAGCTCTGTAAGGGGAACATGTGGCTGATTTGAGCACAATAACTCTGCTTCTGAGGAAGAGGWTATGTGGGGTTTGTTACACAGAACSAGACTGCCTGTTTTTATGCCGTCACCACATCTGCATGTTGGTTGCAGCAGTCTGTTAATTGCAGTGGGGAGAGCCAAAGCTGAAATACTGTCTTAAGAAGTAGGCTTGAAAATGTCATTCCTCCTCTGCGTATTTGGGTTTGGGATAAGTTACTTTCTATACATTCCTTGATGGTCAAAGTAACAAGTGTGGAAGTGAAGCAGACTGGCCAGATCCTTYTTCCAAATTCTTAACAGTAGAGGAGAAAGCTCTTTTTCTTCTCTTTTTTCAAAGCAGGGGAAGGAAATGGTGAGCCCTAGTGCCAGCTGCAGTACCACCTGACTTCTGGAGAAGCATTACTTGTCCCTGAGCTTCACTTTTTTYCTAGTGGATATCCTGCCTTGAGTAAGCTGTAATTGAGTGGGATACAAAGAAAGGACTGACGTACTTTCTGCTTTCTTTCGTTTGGATACTAAAGGACTTGCAGTGCTATAAGCTTTAATCAAGTGTGACACCTTAACATTATGGATTGGATTTCTCTAGAGCCAGTTCACCCATACTCAGACAACTACCTAGACAAATTACCTTAAAAGGTMAGTTTGATATATTTGCCAACCTTTWCTTTAGTTTTGAGGCTCARAAAGTAGAAAATACCTCTGAAAGCTTCTACACAGGATAGTGTTTTTTGAGGCCCAGGATAGGCTTTATTACTGCAAAAGCTTACCTGCTCTGAGACAGATTCAAAGCTGTATCCAGTCGTGTCAGTCTTCAAAGACACCCTCACATGACTGTTGCAGAGCTGCTGAATTCTGCTGGGGTGTGTTGTCATATGCCTGTTTGTCACACACATGCCAGATTAAAGCTGCTGCATGCGGGGCTGGCTGCAGCCATTGTCTGCTGCATCCACAGCTCTCGTACCGGGCTCTACAGCCCTGTACGGGGAGAAAACTACAGCAAAAGGCATGAATGCTCTTTTCTCCTGCTGTTTTCCATGTGAGACTTTAATGGCTTATGCTGCTCTGTCACAGAGATTGGTTTCAAATCATCGTAGTGATTTTCAAAGGCCAGGTTTTAGTAAATTGTATTTACTGCAGTGCTGATTTATGTTCTGATTCTGAGACTGAAATAAGTTTTGACAATTTCATGCACTTTGAAAAAACGTTTGGTGAGATGACTCCAAATCACCTTCTTGATGCTATGGCAGTGTTTCTGTGATTTAACTTTACAAATCTGGTGCCTTTCTGATAAAAGCTGATTCCCTAATCAGTCAGGAAGGACATAAACTTTATTTGTATTTCCTTTCATCTTTCTACTTAAATTCACATCGGTTCCTTTCACCTTCCCTAATGACACCAATTTTCCCTTCTCCTACCAGAATCTGTTTTATTCACCCAACACAGGCAGAAAACAACAACAGTGCAGGCAGGAATGAACCCTGGGCTCACCTTCAGTAAAATATGGGGCCATCAGAGAACTTTTGGAGCCMTTTTGCTTTATTTTGGCCAGTAGTGTGTGTAGAGGAGAGTGAACATACAGGAGAACACACAGCTCTTGATATGCAGATCAAAGAACTAAAGGAACTGAGCTGTCTTGGAGAAAAACTAGACCCAAAACACAGTGGAATTCTAAATTGATCTCTGAACTGTTGTGGAGTTGCTATGGAAACATGCAAGTGCTCAGACCAACATTGTAGTGTAAAAAGACCAATTATAGTTATCTGGGAAAAATTAGTTATTATTTTCCACATAACTAGTGTATGTATTGTAATACCTAAGGACCAAAAAAGGACAGTTATACAAGAGTTGTCACTATTCAGGGTTTCTGCTCCACACCACTTTCCAGGTCTTCATGCTAAAAGGAGTAAAAGTACTTCTAAAAAGCACAGACTTATAACCATATGCTAGATCTGTGCTGCTTCTAGAGAGCAATGGAGTCTCCTGGGCACAGAGGTAATTTTATTTTGTCTTTTGAAATAAATTCAATAAAATTGTATTTATTGTTGGTGGCAAGTAAGGCCATGTGTGTGCTCACAGCCCAGATCTTGTGTGCAGGGTATGGGGGCAGCTCTCTCTGCAGACCAATCAGTCTCTTCAGCAAAGAGCTTTTCTAGACATATATTCCCAAACTATGTTTTGTCTGTGACTCTGAGCTAGAGATATTCAATTAGCAAAATTGAACTGTTCTGTTCCATTCCCCTAATTTTTTAAAAGCTTGTTTCTTCTATTKAGGTTTTGGACAGCAGCACTAGCTGGAAGAATTTAAGATTTCCTTTTGACTAATGGCCTTTAGCTTAAATTTATTCATTCTTTCCTATTTTTTAAATTAGCTGCAAGTTTGAGGGAGGAACGTTTGCAGAAGCTTAGGTTTTCATTTTCTGCTGAGGGCTGTGAGGCATTCAGGAGGAAGTTCTGCAGTAGTGATTGCCCTTCAGTCTTGARGCTTTAGTCCCAGCTCTTGCTTTGYAGGAGGTTGTTGCTGAGACTTTAGGTCAAGAACAACATGTTAAAAAACTAAACAAACTTTCTGGGGAAACAAGAGACGATGGAGTAATAATTGCAAAACACAGGGAAGRCTTAGATCTGCAAAGTGGTTGATTGCAGCTTCTTTCATTTCAGGCCTAATCCTTAGTTATTCTAGTTTGCCTGGAAAATCTACATKCTGTGAGACTGTTTTTGTGTATAATTTCTACCTCTATTCCAGTTGTGTCTACAGGCCCTTTTCCTAGTCTGGCACACGGCACTGGGTGGTGAGCTATGCTCTTCCCAAAATGGAATACAATCCTAGCCTGAAAAATAATTTTAAAATCCTAAACAAACCACACAACAAAAGGGATTGAGCGTGTGAAGAAGAGAAGAGCCTCCCTTGAGAAATCCCTGTGGCCTCAAGGTAAGCCAGCACTACTGATCCTCTTTGCAAACCTGTACTGCCTATCAAGAGGACCACGGTTATCATCACACACTCATGCTTCCATACCCCATTTTATAAAGGGATACAATCTAAGTTTGTTCACTTCAATCTTCATAGGACTCARATGGAGTTCTTTACACAGAACCAGACTTTCTCCTCTTCCCAGGAAGACACACCGTACACCCTAGGTGGTGCTTCTCCCACCTTCACTACACAGGTGTCCTGGGTACTAACCCTGCAATGGAATGACGGTATTTCAGCCCAGCTTCTTTGTGTTCTGAAAAATTATTGTAATGTGTCATTTTTCTGTAAGGGGGGGTTGGTCTCTGCATGAAAAGGGGTCACCTTACTCAATTTATGTATTTTGTACTGTTCTCCATGGGTAATTTCCCTGCAGCCCTGTAAATTATTGTGAAAAAGTATAGACACAGAAGATAAAAATTTCAACTTAGATTTAGTGAATGAATTTTCATGTCAAGTCAGGAGGTTTCCTTGTTTTCTGTCTCTTTTTCTCTGAATAATATCTATTTTCTTTTCGGTGCTTCACTGACAGAAACTGTTCAGTGAAGTTGCCTGTTTTTCTGTTCTTCTTCACTTATTCCCAAGTGGGATAGACATCRTGTCTGAGCAGAGGGAAACTCTCCCTTGACTTACTCCCATAAAACTCACTTTGGTTTTTCCCCTTGTAAAAATTCGCCTCAATAGTGTAGTTCACCCCTTCCGGCATGTCTCAGGAGAGAGATACCTTTGAGAAGGTTAAAGTATCCTGCTTGCATAAGAGAAATGTAAAATAGCAACAGAGTATTGGCATCCAGACATAGGTATGGGGCAAACTCGAACTTTTTGTTGACATACTGTTTTTGCTGATAAATCAATACATGCAGGTGAACGACGAATACGACGGTGACCACAAGCCATCTTCAGGCTTTCAGAATACACTAATTTTTTAAAAGTTAAATGGCACCCGCTTGAAGTTTATATGTTTTATTTTACCTAGTAGTGACAGCAACATCCCCGCCTGTGGCTGCACAAGGCAGGACTGAGCTCCCGACAGCCGGACACCGCTGGCTCCGCTGCCGATTGTCGCCTCCCGGTCCCGGCAGCGCCCGCCCCCGCCCGGCCCCACGCGCGCAGGTGCCCGGAGCGTTCCCGGTGGGAGGCGCCGAGCAGGCAGGAGCAGGCAGGGAGCAGGCAGGGAGCAGGGAGGAAGCAGGCAGGAGCAGCCCCGCGTGTCCGAGCCCCCGTGGGGAACGCTGCCGCGGGGATCGCTCCAGCGGGCGGCGATCGGGCGCCGGGGGAGCCGCGTCCCGCAGCGGAGCGGCCGCCTCGCCTGCCCGTGCTGCTCCGGGCCATGGCGGCGGGGGCGGGCCGGGGCGGGGCGGAGCGCTGACAGGCAGCCCGGCCCGGGGAGCCGCGGTAAACAGGAGCCGGGGGAGCGCCGGGGGAGACCGGCCTCGTAGGAGCCTCCCAGCCCCGCGGCCCGCCGCCTCCCGGCCCCGGGCATGGGCAGCAGCAGCCGCCGCAGCCGGAGGAGGAGCCGCCGGCCCGGGCCGTGTGCGGGGCACCACCAAGGTAGGCTCGGCCGCCGCCCTGGCCGCGGGCAGCTGCCGCTTCCTCCGCGGGGACCGCGCCGGGTCCGGTGCCCCTCCGTCGCCGTGAGGCCGGGCCCCGAGGTCGGGCCCGGGGGCGGCCCAGGGCGGGCGGTGCGGGGGCCGCTTTCCCCGCTTTCCCCGCTTTCCCCGCTGTCCCCGCCGCTCGTCCCGGCCCCGCCGGCGGCACCTCGCCCCGCCGGATCCGGCAGGTGAGGCGCTCCCGGGCGAGCAGCCAGCGGCCCGGCTCCCCCCGGGACCAGCGCCGTGTCGGCCGGGGCAGGGCAGAGCACTGCCGGCCATGGAGCGGGGGCTCCGCGCGGGGCTCTGGCCGGGCCGGGGAAGCGGCACCTAATTCCCTGGTAAGAGGCTTTCCCACCTCCGCCGTCTTTGTCTGCTCAGCCTCAGCTGCTGGCGCTGGGAGCATTAGTGTTGCTGCGGGGAAACCGAGGGCGGATCAGCTGTGGGAAAGGGACCGTGTTTGCACCAGGTGTCCGACTAGGAGGAGGACGCGAATTCACATTCAGTGAGCAACGTGGAATAGAGATACGTCAGAAAGAAAACAGTGCACGAGCTGTGCTGGTCACAACGTGTTCGTAAGGAATCGTGAAGTTTCACGGCAGACTGASAAATAGTCAGAATTCCTTCATGCTTCCTGAAGCTAGTTGGCAGGCAGAGTAATGCTCGGGTTGTTCCAAACTGTAACACTTTAACTTCTCATTTTAGTACGCTAAAAGTGCAAGCAAATCGAGAATTACAATGTGCCAATGTGGGATCACTTGGTCTCAAACTGCAGTGCAAGGGGCACGCAGCTGAGCTCTGCAGTTGGCAAAGGACTGGTCTGCTTCCGAGCATGGCAAATTTGTGAAATAACCCCGCAGCATAAACATAGAAGGGGCAATTTAGCTAGAGCTTGAGTGGAGGTGGAAAGAGATGTTGGAAGGAAGGTGGGGGTGGAAGAGGAGAGAGCCAGTCTGACAGTAGCACTTCAGCTGAAGCAGCAGCAATCTTTATGAATTTGTGCTTCTAAAATTGGTTTGGAGTAGTGTCAGTTGAGGCTGAGATTGATCTAGTAATAGCCCTAGTTAAAAATTTTCAGAGAAAAGTTTTGTTAGAGAAACACTTATTTACTAGACCTAAGATGTTTTGTTTGAAAACCTGTCAGCACTGATCAATTTCTACTGATGCTGAGTTCTGCTAAACCTGCCTGGGGAGCAGGMTTGCTGGAAACATCAGTGTTCCTGTCTCAAGGGTATGCCCCAGCACCCAGAATCATACCTGCTGGGGGTGTTGGCAGCTTCTCAGCTGTAGCCCAAACTATTTGGTGTGAGATTCTCCTCAGAGCAACCTTCCAGCTGCTTGGAGACRGTGAGACATTTGCCAAGACTTGATTCTGCTGTGGTTGCTGAAAATKGTAGGATTGCTGAAGTCTGAACAACTGCCCTTTTGCTGGGAACTTTGTGTGACTTAGGTCTAATGTAAACTTAAGAAATTAACAATTCACTGAGTATTTGTTGTTATGGTGTTGGGGTTTTTTGTTGGTGTTTGATTTGTTGGTTTGTTTTTTTTTTTTTTAACTTGGCTTTCAGCTAGCCCAAGCTAGCAGTTCTCCTTATAGAGACAAACTAGTTGAAAAGAAGCAGTTTTCTGTTTTGGGGTGTCGTGCTGGACAAAAGCGGAGTGCTTTTCATGCCTCAGTGTATGGATATGGTGCTAGAATTGTTGGAGGTGTCCAGATGACGTGTAGTGCTAGAAAATGCACCGTTCCCTGGCTGCTTTTGCACAGTCTTAGGTGTTGTGAGGATAGATAAGTTCAGCATGATGGATGAACATTTTATATTTTCAGGATGAGATTTATTTTTTTTTTATTTAAAAGTCTGTTATTTTAGGTCTAACATTTTGGATGAGCAACTCTCCCACGTTTGAGGGTGAAAGGACTTAATCTTCCCAGCTGCTGAGACTGTCACAGGTACTTCAGGCAATGTAGCAAAGTGTCTTCTCTGACAAACTGATTTCCTTACTGCTCTTCCAAACACTGGCATCAGTGGGGAAGGCAGGGCACTGCAGGAGTGTGACAGCTTCCAGTAATAATGCTGCTCAAGGAGGGAGTTGTAGGTGGTTGTTACAGGCCYTGCATTTATCCTGCTACCTAAGAAGCAGCAGTTGCCTGCTATGGGTCTTTTCTGCCATATGCCTCAGTCAGCCCTARTGTGCCTGACTGATAGCTGTCTTCAGAAAATGTGAATAAGAGTGTGCATGGCTATCTGCCAGGAAAAAAAATGAAAACAGGAAGGAGTTGTCTTTTTTTTTTCTTTTCTAATTGTTTTTTATGATTTTGTTTTGCTCTTGTTCTGCCCTTCCACCTTCCCCTAAAAATATAAGGAACTCTTGGTCCTGTAGAAGTGTTTAACAAGCATTCTGTAAGAGCCCACAGGTGGACCATAAAAAATCAACAGGCGTTGAAAAAAGGAACTTCCAGGAACCCTGAACAACACTGTGCTTGGACTGTGTCTGCATGTGGCAAATAGTGAATAGCAAAGCTGTATAAGGCTATAAGAAATGAAAAACTTCAAGTCTGGGAAAAGCTTCCCTTCTAGGGCATAAGGTATTAAAGGGGAAATCTTCCTGGGGGACAGGTTACCCATTTATTGCTTGTGCCAGTTCTTTCTCTGGAGCATCTAGTGCTAGCTGCTGCAGGAACTGAGTGAACCATGTAAATCACACATATAATTCACTGTATTAATTTCCATAGTGAGACAGAATTCATGCAGGGTTTACAGGGACCTCAGTTTTGCTGACTTGTGGWTTGACTGCAAAGGTCTGGTGGCAGCTTGTTGTAGCATAGCAGAGCTGGCATTAAACTTGCTGGATGGGCTTTGTTCACTGTGAATTTTCACAGCTTCAGGTTGTTGAAATGCTCTTCACCGAGATAGGGTCATTTTTACTCATTCTGTTGTCTTGATTTTACTGAAAACTTGCCAAAAGAACTCATAATTTCTAAACCAGATTATTTTTTGTTGCTTTCCACAACATTTTTGTGGGGTTTTATCAAGGTATTCATGTTCATGTGAAGTATTAAAAAACCAAATAACTGATTACATAATGTTTATTGATTTTGGGCTRGGTAAATGGACAAGAGCCCTTGGAAGTGTGGTCTTTTTTTTCAATTAGAGGTGTGCTTTAAGAGTTTTGTAACTGTTAAATTTAACTCATCACCAGATAGCCAGACAGTTCACAAACAGCAAGAGGTCTCAACCATCAGCAGTTTCTAGTGCTTGTAATTTCTTTTCTCCAGGGACCAAGAAGGAAGGCTGACCTTTATTATRTGTCGTGTTTGGGCCAGTCTAGATCAAACGTATATGTAAATGAATGTTAGACTTCTCTGTCTTTTAAATTGAGTGCCACTCTGGAGCTCACATTTGGTACCTGCAGGCAAGTAGGAGGGCTTAGCAGCAAATCTTGAATTTATCCTGGCAGAATGTCTTGGTTGATGGAATTCAACTGAAAACAGTGTTGGAAATTTTTTATAACATACACATATTACCTATGTGTAATGGATCGAAAATAGTAGAAGGCTCTAGAAACTAGGTCTGAAATTTTCTATAGTTGGATGAAATAAAGCTAGTAGATAATCACTTTATCCTTGGAAACTTGTTTAAGGATCYCAGTTGTAAGCCTTGAAAATATGTAGCCAAAATTCAAATGGAATATAAATATTTTCTATTTTTGAGGTAGGTTTGTCCTGTGTGTCAGTTAGGTATGCCTTGATATCTCCCCCTTCATAAGGCCTCAGGACAGAATACATGTCACCAGTCCATTCTGCAGGTGAGGCTGCAGATGAACAACTGTACCAGAGTTGCTCCTTGGGAAAACAGGCATTGGATATTAAAATGTTGTTTAACAGGTCACTGCTAATTCAGCTAAGGCTGAGTTTGTCTCCCAGTTTGGTCATTGCTTCAGTAAGATCATGTGTTTGTGCACCATCCAGTATAAGAGGTTCATTACAAGGAATAAAAATGTTGTCATTTTTATTGTTGTCATTTTTATTTTTATCTCTTCTCTGAGCAGATAGCTTGACTTCTGTCATGTCCTCAACACAGGGTGAGAAACCTTTTTCTTGGAATCAAAGGGTCAGTTGGATAATACAGGGGGGAAGGAAAGATAGAAGGTGAAAAACTCTAGGTGACAAACCAAAATAGAACAAAAAGGAGAGGAAAAGGAATAGGGTTCAAGCTTACACACCAAGTTGCTAGTTTTTAAAACAGTATACAAATCCTTTGTGCCTCCCTTCCTCTCAAATGTACTTTATTTTTCAAAAGCTTTTTGGTTCCTCTTTAGTGTGTGTACTGAGCCTGCAAGGAAGAGGCTGGAGGAGCCCCAATGCTTCTTAATAAATAGYGAGGCTTCCCCTAGGCCTGGTCTGCTGATTCTAATGACCAGAATAATTTGTCACTCAGAGTTACTTACTGTTAATAACTCTGCCATTGTGCAGCTTGAGGAAGGGAGTTGTGCTTCTGTTCTTGTTGCTTGWGTTGAGTTTTAAGTTCTGCTTTCTTGATACACARCAGTTTCCATGGGTACACCAGTGAKGGTCCACACATTGCCATSACTCCTAGCACTGAGACTAGAAGCTGGCTTCTCTAGAGACATRGCRTTTGGGTGACTTGGGAGGACCATTTGAGGATCATTAACTGAAAAGGAAGCAACAAATTCACTGTGTACGACCTGCCCCATAGCACCAGTTAAATACTGAGGAAGTATTCTGTAAGATCTTCTACTGGAAGCACTTCCCWTGGCAGTGAACCTGGCCTTTGCTTTCCTGGGATAGGAAACGTGGTGTCACGGGATTATTAGTGGGAACTCCTCATCTCCAAATTACTGCAGGTTTTACAGGAGAGATGCTTTTCTTTAATGTCGTTTGTAAAGGTCTCCTAAAGCATTTCTTTGTTGAAGAAACTTCTTCAAAACCAGTGGGAGCTGTGG